TTTTTTTTTCCACTTTTCCTGGTAAAAACGCGATGTTCAGTGAAATTTGAGCCTTCTTTCGCGATATGTTGTTTAAAAAAAATTTCAGCAACATAATTTAAAAAACGCGGAAGAAACCCCAGTTTCAATGAGCTATTATGAGAATAGTGTAGATAATTCGTAGGGCGATCTGCATTTACATTTGCCGACACTAAGTTGAATTTGTTCACAAATCTGATAGACTTGTATTTTTATGTGTAGGACACAACTGCTTGAATTGCTGCGACATTAAAAGCGAGATAAGAGCTTCTACGAGAACAGACTGCTCAATCAAAGACAGTATCCATGCAGATTTTCGACTTCGACATTTTTCTTTTCTGAACTAACTTGGTAAGCTGGACGAATTATGAGCTCAGTCGGTATGAAATTGTCAAGAAGCGGATTCTCGTCCTCTTGCAATGGGAGGACGAGATGCTACTTGAATGTGTGCCTGATTTTCTTGACAAACGGTAGCAAGAGAGGCTAGATATGGTCGACTAGCTCAGCTACGAAGTCGACCACAACAACATAATGAGAACTCAAAAATTACTGCTTTACCTGAACATCGTCTTAGATTGAAAAGTTTTTTTATCTACTAAAACTGCAATCATATAGCTCTGTTTCAAAAATAAAGGCCCTTATTAGAACTTCGCACCATTTTCAAACGTTAGCAAGTCTGGAGCCCTGCAGAAGGCAGATACTCTTTTGATTTGTAGTAAACTCTTTTTTCTGTTCCGAAACAAACTATCCTAACCGTAGTTTATCTTGCTCTTTTGTATGCCGTTACGTGTTGTTAGTGAGACACTTTGTTTCAAAGCCCACAACGCCTTTTTCAGAGAAGTTGAGTGATTCACTTCAGGCCTTTGAAGAATGCGTTGCGCAGAAACGTTCGGCTTTGAAATAAAGTGTTTTCACTAAACTGCAATGGCATACAAAAGAACAAGATAAACCAAATAATGCCAAGGTTTCAAGATAAGAAACATATAGACTATCATTAATAAGATATGTTGAGTGTGAGCTTCTCAATTGCAAACTTCTAGACAAGCTCTTACATAATTAGCAAAATATTTTTCAGGGGATATCTTTATTTCACAGTACTGTTTTCTAACTTCTCACAATAATAATCAATGGATTGTGACGTTGCTTACCTGGCGAATCCGCAAATGATGCATCAAAACAAGCATAATTAATGAGCGCATAAGAAGCGAGAAAGAAGTTGGATATGATAGGAGCGATGGCGTTCAAATCTCCTAAAAGTCTTAACAATTATAAGTCGACAAATTACTTCAAATTACTTCAAGTTGAAGCCATAGAGTACATCTATAGGTTTTGAGAGTTGAAAAGACTAACCTATACCGATAATACACATAGCTATGATGAACGTGAGGACGTACGCTCTTCTGGGTTCTTCATTTTTCCCAAATGCTTTTGCAAAGTACCCAATCTTTGGAAACAGGCGGTCCTTGCAAACAGCCTAGAAGGGGAACAGTTTCTAAAAGTCGAAGGGCTATTGATAGAGAATTAAATACCAGCATTTATGATCAGTTTGTACTGGCTTGGAAATTTGCTTACCTGAAATACTTTCGGTGCGCTAACAAGACTTGCAAGAGCTGAGCTGAGAGTAGCCGCGAAAATTCCAGCCGTGATCAGTGGTCCCCAGAGGGACTCCATTTCCATAATCTGAAGAAATGAAGAAAATCTTGAGGCATTTGAAAATTTGTAAAAGATGCTGAAATTTATGTTGCGCTATGCACGACATGTTATCTAATGCTGAATAAAAGTGTGCACCTGGAAGTAATTCATAAGGCCATAAGGGCAAGTTTGATTAACGGCGCATTCTGGAGGAATGAAATTGGTACCATTCCAAATAGGAGGAGATATGCCATCCGCGTCTCTGCAACAAAAAAAAGGAACTCGTACGAAAAATATGCAGGATATTGGGTCTGCTAAAAGTATTAAAGCTAGAAAGTACTTTTTATTTTCACAATTCTAAAACGTTGCTATGCTGTCAACTGTATGTGTAAATCTACACTTGTTAACCAAAAAAGTCCTAGAAACTACGTTGAGTTTGGATCAATCAAACAAGAGTGACCACAGACGAATGCTAATCGCCCGGAGTGTTCAGCATACCTAACACAAGTTGAACCAGTCATCCACACAGTCGCCAGATACACTACAGTAGTAATCCCAATTGCCAGAAGGGTACCCATCGGAATAGCACGCTTAAAGGGACTATTTTTTAAAGATGTTCAAGCTCATAGGCATTCTGCTCAATTCCATTGATACCTGTGGATCCGCCAGATCCCCGCTGATGTTCGCACCGGCCATGATTCCAGTTGCAGCCGGAAAGTAAACAGCAAAAACTGAGAAAAAGTCTTCGCCTCGAAATGAAGGGAGCAAATTTTCAAATAAGGTGGTATCTAAAGAAGCATCAGCGTAATTCAGCAGTTTTGAATGTAGATGTATATGACATAGTGACTACACATACAGCTATATCCGGTAGCTCCTCGCAAAATCGCTGCATTATTAGGCGGAAACACAGATCCAATCCAATAGTCAATAATGGAGGCTGTCAGTATTACCAATAAAAACATCTGCATTCTTGACTCGAACTGTGTGCCGATGAATATGATGGACATCAAAACTATGCATGTAACTGCAAAGGATTCATTAAGTTATCCTTGCATCAGCTCTATATGTAACGAAAAAGAAAGTCAGAAAAACCTCATCTAAAAAAAGATAATTTTATGTGTCTGCTTAATTATGTATCTGTCACATGGAACTCGTCTGTCCAAAAGATTAAGCATGTAATAGGATGAAAGACTCAGATAGATAGTTTAGTCGTACAAGATATAAAGATTCGCATACGCTCACGGAAAGCAACACTTACTGAATCCCACTATTCTCACATCCCACAGATCGGCGTCGATTATTTTAAAGCCTGCTTCTCTAAAAAGGTCTCTCACAGTTTCAGCGAAACCGACAATATACATGGCTGCACCAACAGCATTGGCTACGGAGAAGATCAGACCTATCGAACCACCAAATTCTGGACCAAGTGAGCGCGATATCTATAATTCTTGAGTAGCAACAGCTATCTGTTGAAGTAAAACAAAACGAACCAAAAAATAAGCGCCGCCACCTTTGACATCACCGTTTGTACAGATAGCGCACGTGGAGATGGCTGTGATAGTCGTGACGAGAGATGCTAGCAACACTATTAAACTTCCCAGACCTGAAGGATAAGTTAGTCGACACTTCCACTTTTAGTGCTCCAGAATTTCACAATATTGAATCTCGCAAAGATTCGTTAGTAGTTTTTTTTTAATCACAAAAATCATATTCGCTCGCTATGCCCCTATCAGAGAATAGATTATAGCTGGAACA